CTTCATTGTGTGTTATTCACTGGAAGGGCAGACTAGAGGGCACTTCATCGTGTTTTATCCACTGGAAGGACAGACTAGAGGGCACTTCATTGTGTGTTATCCACTGGAAGGACAGACTAGAGGGCACTTCATCCTGTTTTATCCACTGGAAGGGCAGACTAGAGAGCACTTCATCGTGTTTTTCCACTGGAAGGACAGACTAGAGGGCACTTCATCGTGTTTTATCCACTGGAAGGACAGACTAGAGGGCACTTCATCGTGTGTTATCGACTGGAAGGGCAGACTAGAGGGCACTTCATTGTGTTTTATCCACTGGAAGGACAGACTAGAGGGCACTTCATCGTGTGTTATCGACTGGAAGGGCAGACTAGAGGGCACTTCATTGTGTGTTATCGACTGGAAGGGCAGACTAGAGGGCACTTCATTGTGTGTTATCGACTGGAAGGGCAGACTAGAGGGCACTTCATCGTGTTTTATCCACTGGAAGGGCAGACTAGAGGGCACTTCATCGTGTTTTATCCACTGGAAGGGCAGACTAGAGGGCACTTCATCGTGTTTTATCCACTGGAAGGGCAGACTAGAGGGCACTTCATTGTGTGTTATCCACTGGAAGGGCACACTAGAGGGCACATCATTGTGTGTTATCCACTGGAAGGGCAGACTAGAGGGCACTTCATCGTGTTTATCCACTGGAAGGGCAGACTAGAGGGCACTTCATTGTGTTATCCACTGGAAGGGCAGACTAGAGGGCACTTCATCGTGTTTTATCCACTGGAAGGGCACACTAGAGGGCACTTCATTGTGTTTTATCCTCTGGAAGGACAGACTAGAGGGCACTTCAAGTCATTATTCAGCCTGATATCAGCAGCAGTTAACTTAACATTTTCACAACATTTTATGCCTATTTATGCCCAGTTGTTACTATCTTTAAGTCAAATTACAACAACCTGTACATCTGATCTACATTTTTTGCTTTGTTTAATTAATCCCAATATCTGTCGTATTTTACAGTGTTTTCAGATGTGGATCTCAAGCCTCACCTGTTGGACATTGCAGACGTGATTGGATGGAAGGATTTGCGGGGTGTAGCAATGCGTAGCGGGATACCAGAATCCATCATTGAATCTTGTCAACTGAACAACCCTCGTGATTATCAGGAGCAGACATTTCAACTACTGAATATTTATGGAGCGTCAGGGCAGGGAGGCCTCAAACATCTTGATCCAAAAATTGCTGACAGGTGGCAAAAAGGCCAAAGCGCAAAAGGTGAAAGATATTTTGTCTAAAGCAGCTAGATCAAACATTTCTGACTGAATGTGTCTATTGTGAGCACTTTTTAAAATAATTGCAGTGCTGTCTACTGTATGTTTTATCCACTGGAAGGGCAGACTAGAGGGCACTTCATTGTGTGTTATCCACTGGAAGGGCAGACTAGAGGGCACTTCATCGTGTGTTATCCACTGGAAGGACAGACTAGAGGGCACTTCATCGTGTTTTATCCACTGGAAGGGCAGAATAGAGGGCACTTCATTGTGTGTTTCCACTGGAAGGGCAGACTAGAGGGCACTTCATCGTGTGTTATCCACTGGGAGGACAGACTAGAGGGCACTTCATCGTGTTTTATCCACTGGAAGGGCAGACTAGAGGGCACTTCATCGTGTGTTATCCACTGGAAGGACAGACTAGAGAGCACTTCATCGTGTTTTATCCACTGGAAGGACAGACTAGAGGGCACTTCATCGTGTTTTATCCACTGGAAGGACAGACTAGAGGGCACTTCATCGTGTGTTATCCACTGGAAGGGCAGACTAGAGGGCACTTCATTGTGTTTTATCCACTGGAAGGACAGACTAGAGGGCACTTCATCGTGTGTTATCGACTGGAAGGGCAGACTAGAGGGCACTTCATTGTGTGTTATCGACTGGAAGGGCAGACTAGAGGGCACTTCATTGTGTTTTATCCACTGGAAGGGCAGACTAGAGGGCACTTCATCGTGTTTATCCACTGGAAGGGCAGACTAGAGGGCACTTCATCGTGTTTTATCCACTGGAAGGGCAGACTAGAGGGCACTTCATCGTGTTTATCCACTGGAAGGGCAGACTAGAGGGCACTTCATTGTGTTTTATCCACTGGAAGGGCACACTAGAGGGCACATCATTGTGTGTTATCCACTGGAAGGGCAGACTAGAGGGCACTTCATCGTGTTTTATCCACTGGAAGGGCAGACTAGAGGGCACTTCATTGTGTGTTATCCACTGGAAGGGCAGATAGAGGGCACTTCATCGTGTTTTATCCACTGGAAGGGCACACTAGAGGGCACTTCATTGTGTTTTATCCTCTGGAAGGACAGACTAGAGGGCACTTCAAGTCATTATTCAGCCTGATATCAGCAGCAGTTAACTTAACATTTTCACAACATTTTATGCCTATTTATGCCAGTTGTTACTATCTTTAAGTCAAATTAAAAACCTGTACATCTGATCTACATTTTTGCTTTGTTTAATTAATCCCAATATCTGTCGTATTTTACAGTTTTCAGATGTGGATCTCAAGCCTCACCTGTTGGACATTGCAGACGTGATTGGATGGAAGGATTTGCGGGGTGTAGCAATGCGTAGCGGGATACCAGAATCCATCATTGAATCTTGTCAACTGAACAACCCTCGTGATTATCAGGAGCAGACATTTCAACTACTGAATATTATGTGGAGCGTCAGGGCAGGGAGGCCTCAAACATCTTGATCCAAAAATTGCTGACAGGTGGCAAAAAGGCCAAAGCGCAAAAGGTGAAAGATATTTTGTCTAAAGCAGCTAGATCAAACATTTCTGACTGAATGTGTCTATTGTGAGCACTTTTTAAAATAATTGCAGTGCTGTCTACTGTATGTTTTATCCACTGGAAGGGCAGACTAGAGGGCACTTCATTGTGTTTTATCCACTGGAAGGGCAGACTAGAGGGCACTTCATTGTGTGTATCCACTGGAAGGGCAGACTAGAGGGCACTTCATCGTGTGTTATCCACTGGGAGGACAGACTAGAGGGCACTTCATCGTGTTTTATCCACTGGAAGGGCAGACTAGAGGGCACTTCATCGTGTGTTATCCACTGGAAGGACAGACTAGAGGGCACTTCATCGTGTTTATCCACTGGAAGGGCAGACTAGAGGGCACTTCATCGTGTTTTATCCACTGGAAGGGCAGACTAGAGGGCACTTCATCGTGTTTTATCCACTGGAAGGGCAGACTAGAGGGCACTTCATTGTGTGTTATTCACTGGAAGGGCAGACTAGAGGGCACTTCATCGTGTTTATCCACTGGAAGGGCAGACTAGAGGGCACTTCATCGTGTGTTATCGACTGGAAGGGCAGACTAGAGGGCACTTCATCGTGTGTTATCCACTGGAAGGACAGACTAGAGGGCACTTCATCGTGTTTATCCACTGGAAGGGCAGACTAGAGGGCACTTCATCGTGTTTTATCCACTGGAAGGGCATGTTTTATCTACCATAGGGCATCCTAGAGAGCACCTTCGCGGCATTTTTGTTTTTTCCAAACACAGAGCACAGGAAGTGATGGCCTGGCACCTGAAATTAAGTACTAAGAGGTGTCTGTGCAAAAACTACATGTACAACTGTCAAAATGGAGATAAATGAAATTCAAACATGGTGGGGAAGTTCAGTTCATATCATACATATTTGTGTTCATTCTATATTTTTCTTTCTTTCATTTTTCATCTTTTGCATTTGATGTATTCAATAACTTAAAATTTAAAAAAATCTGTAATTATGCAGTTGCTTTTGGATTGATGATATGGATAATAACATCACAACTATAAAGTATTTAAATTTGAGGAAATTGCTTCTACCTTTGTGAGTAATTATAGAGTGTGAGTGAAAACAGATGTGTGGACTGAAAGAATGAAACAATGCAAACACCTGTTACATAAAGTCTTACCTTTGTGTGTTCATAATGGCCACTGATTGTACACATTCAGATTTACACATTTAAATTTCAGTATATTTATTTATTGTCTTTGTGAACTATTTACAATGATGTTAAATATTTTGCTAAAATGTTTTGCCATTCAAAAACATTTCTTTGGTTATAAAAGCACTCATGCAAACACTCAAAGTGTGGTGAAATGTGGACAAACGTGTGTATTTAGCTGTATTTTAGTTAAACATGGAGAAGTGAATGCAGTAGTCACTTTTTGTGGACATTTCCGGTGAAAGGATATTGCAACTGAGGGACATCACAAGTGACTGAACTTGAGCCAGCTATTTCTTCATGAAGAAGCAAACAATAAACATTTTACAGCCACATTTTTAAGCCTATGTATGGAGTCCAAATAGTCTTATAACACACCCAACTCATTCTCTTATAAGCATTAAGAAAATGGGAACTTTTGCACAAAATTTTGTACAAACTTTACTGATGTACATTGAATGCAGTTTTTTTATCTGTTGGTTTTGGGGCTCTACATCCAGAGGGGAGGGTTTAATATTTTGAAGATTTTCATAAATCCAAGAACCTGAAGGATAATTACAAAAAAACAAAAACACAACAACACTGTTTTACATTCTGAGGCAAAAGTAAAGTAGTTGGAGAAAAAAAACAATTATATTTCAGTGCTTTATGAGGATTAAGTGGTACTTTGAAACATTCTTTATGGTGAATGAACATTGTGTTACAAAGAGAAAACTTCAGGCCACTTCTGCAGCATAATCCACATTTCTGCTGTCAATCTATATGCCTAACCCTCTTTTGCAAATAGTCACATTCATGAAAAAAACATCACTAAATACGTGACTTCTGTCTCATTCTTTGATCTTGCCAGCAGGCGCGAGCTCACTCATTGACTCATTCATTAGTCTGAACTACTATTTTTGTTACTGACGCACTTTAAAGTTTCTGTTTAGATTTTTATACCTTTTGAAACAACACTGTTGAAAACATAGCCTTGATTAAGATAGAACTTTTCAAACTAGACCTATTTTGAGCATGAAACACAACAGGAGTGTTTCATGCTCAAATGTTTTAGTATAAATTTTAAAATGTCAGCATCAGTTTAATCAAAGTCAGTTTTCTTCATTATTTTTTTATTAACAGTAGAACAAACCTGTCCTTCATTTATTATGACAATCACAACCTTTTGAAAGTCTCTGTGTTTCTTGACTTCCTCTGTCTGTTTTCTCCCAGTAGCGTTCCAAAAAGTCTGTCCCAGTGAGTGAAGTATGGGGCATAGTTTACTTTGAATTTGAGGTGGTGGAGGTCATGGTGCGGAGCTCCTCCGTAGAGGCTTAAAGGCACCAGTCTATGTGGAGACCAGGGAAATTCGTAGCCCGAGTGAGCCTCAACAGACAGATACATGTTTATGACATAGAAGAGCATCTCGGTGAGTGTATGGCAGTTCAGGAGGGCAGGGTTCAGTGTTGTGAAGAAGCTGAGGCTCAGCATCTCCCAGACACCTGTGTGTTCTGTTGCCAGCGAAAAGGAGGCCGTGTAGATGTGGTGCTCCTTGTGGAAGACATACAGCCAGGACACCTTGTGATGCAGCAGATGCCACAAACAGATCTCCATGTCGAACAGGAGGAGGCAGGCCAGTACATCCTTAAGAACAGACTGCATCTCGGGTGCCAAAGGAGGAAAAGACACAGGTCTCAAGTACCAATGCACAACAGAAATGGGGAAAATGAAGCAGACGTGGTTGTGGAAGATTTTGAGCAAGCACCTCGAAGCCACTGCCAATGTCACCTTGTTTTGAGGCTGGATCTTGAAGCGGCGTACCAGGGTGAGTCTTGAACAGAGCAAATCCAGACATAAGTAAGGCAAGCAGCAGCTCAGGTGGATGGTCAGAGAGAATAAAACTGGGAAAAATGGAGATCTAAGGAGGCTTTGTTCTCTCAGCCAGTCCCAAAGAATCTGCAGAAGGAGTTTCTCTGTGCTCTCTGAATTTGTCATCTCTGCAACATGAGAAAACTTGACTGTACTGACACATTTCTACTTTCTGAAGGATGGTGAAATGTTATGTAAGACTCAAGTGAGACTTGAAAAGCATTTCCTGGGGAGTTTTTTATTGAAGACTCTGAAAACAGAAGTTTAACCTCTTTGTTTCCATTAGATGTCTCTTTAATTATGTGAACGAAGTTTGCAATGTCACTTTTATACTGTTTTAAGACAGTGGATTTCTGCTTCCAAAGTTCAAAGTTGTGATGTTATTGCAGTTCTTACAAGAGTTAACTTGTTACAAGGAATTAGTTGTGTTCAATCTGTGCATCCTGCTGCCTCATCTTTAGTAGTAAATTGTTGCCTATTTGGTTTACATTTTGCAGCACATTAGTTGAAGTATCTTAAAACTGGAAATTGGCAAAATCAAACAAAAGCTTTTATGCACACTCTAGACCTCCTTCATTGAATCATGACTGATTTAATAATGTAAGACAATGAAATAAAATGAAACTGATTGAGAGCTCTTCTGTTTAGGATGATTATAAATGTCACATATAACAGGCATTTTGTAATGTATTTTACATTAATTGTGAGAATATTGAATATCTGAGACAGTTTTTGAAGAGGGATCAGTTGCCTGGCACTTCTTGTAGATTATTGATAGCTCTGTCTACAGTATTTCCTGTTTTGATCCGGTAACCCAACAGCAAAGTTAAAATAACTGCAACACTGGCCTTAAATACCCCCAATGGTACTGTGTCAGTACTACACTGACCCCTGCTGGGTATTTTTAAGCCAGTGATTTTTAGTGTAACTGTTCAACAAAAAAGGAACCTGAAAAATACAAAGAAACTTACTTCTCATACAGAGAAAATAAAGTGTGTCCATTTCTTTCAGTGTGGCTTCGTTTCTGGAGCATTTCTGACAAACTGTGTGGAAGAGGCACATATCCTGTGATTTTGAAAAAAGGACACTTGCAAACATCTGAGCTTCACCCACACTGTAAACACAAATAAATTCAGAATACTCAAAATACTGGTGGAAACTGATTATACAGTTCAAGTTCCCTTTATTAGTATCAAAACCTTAGGCACATCTTGCATAAAGCTGAATAGAAAAAGCCCCTTTTCCACTGCACGGTACCAGCTCGACTCGCCTTTTTTTGGTTTTCCATTGTGGAAAAGTTGTACCTGTACCTGCTTCCCGGTATTTTTTTTCGTATCACCCCCGTCGAGGTTCCAAACGAGCTGAGGGATACTAAAATGTGACATGAAAACACAGCAGACCACTGATTGGTCAGAGAATCGTCACTATTCATTGCACGCGACAGAGACCAGCAACAGAAAGTTTTATATTTTACAATTTTCATACATTACTTCATCACTAAATCCACTTATGAGAAGTTCTGAGGTAATAAATCAACTGTGTAGATTTCGTATATTGACAGTTTTATGAGGAGTGATGGCGGAACAAAAATGTGCTTGAAATTTTTCGGGGTTGAGGAGCTCATACTTGGTATATGTTCGCCGTCAATAACTACCGCTGTCAATACTGTACATCTAAATCACACAACTTACAGATTGTTACACGTGTAAGTTAAGTTACATATGTAACCGTCTATGCCAACGGTGGCTAGATTTAGCTCCTGAAGTAACATTAGCAGCATTAGCTTTTTTCCCTTTGGATAACAGTTTGTTCATGTTTTGTAAAGCACTTTGCAAGGGCATAGGTTCGCATCTGTCTTAACATGTTGACGACGCTCAGGTTAGTTGTCAAAAAAAATCTGTATCATTTAGACTGTTCAGTGTAGCTTTTCACATTTAACTTTAAACAGTGTGCAAATACTTTGCTGGCTGTATGAATTGATCTTAGTTGAACTGAAGTTTATGTAGCCTACTACGACAGTGTTTCCCAACCCTTTCCTGGAGAAAGTTACCCCCAGTCCTGCATGCTTTACTCTCCTCCTGCTTCAACACAGCTGATTGAGGCAGCTTCAGGATTCATAACATGTTGGTATAGTTTGAATCAGCTGTTTGGAGCAGTGAGATGTTTAACATACACGGTTATTTAAACAGTTATCCAAATAAAGTATCCTCCTCACCACAGCCACTGTTG